CAGCATCCAATTATACCCGCTTAAAACGCTTTGTGGGTAAAATAGTGCTAATTTGATTTTATTTTAAATCAATGTTCCTGATTTATAACTGATTTGGTTCCTGACGAATTGTTGTAGTGCACCTACGAGTGCATAGTAATAAATAAATAAATAAATAAATGAAATAAAAAAATCTACCCTACGAAATCGATCTGAGGGTGTTGCTTCATTTCCATACAAGCAGTATCTGAACTTTCGAAGTGCCGTTGTATGAATGTCACTTTTTTATTTTCTTCGTTTTTTCGTGCGTCATGGCGCTGAATGGGGCTAGGACACGATCGCGGGCGCAGGGAGATTATTTGCCATGGCCTAGAGGAAAGAGGACCACGGTGATGACAAATTCCTTAACTCAAAAAGATGTTTCTTCATGTTGTGGAGTATTCCACACCTCCTTCTCCCTCCCATAAGTTAAACAGACACTCCCGCCGTCCCCTTCTGCATCGAGTCCAGTCTTCTTTTTCCTTTTAATAGGTGTTTTCAACAGGTCTATTTCAGATACAACAGCCAGTCGAGTCTTTACAGTAATGATGCAAGAAGTTTCGAGAGGAGGTAGTCGTCTATGTGAAATAAGCTTTGCCTTTTGTGTTGTGACAAATCCTATTTATTGTGATTTTTTTTGTTACAGTAATCGTCCTTACAATAATTCGAACGATTATCGTGGCAATTCGCAGTACCGTGGACCACCAATGGGTGGGACTTTCCCACGTGGCGGAAAGTTCTATAACAATTATGATGAGTACAATATGGGACGTTATCCCCCATCAGGAGGCCAGCCTTATCGCGGAAACGGTCCTTATTACGTGAGTTTTCATTATTTTCTTACCTTATTGTGGGATGCCTGATGCGGTACACTGTTAAATTTCTTCTCTTCATGACAACTAAAGCATGACTACCAATGCATTATTTAGCACAATGCACCGTATGGAGGAAGTGGATACGCACCTCGGTCGCGCGGTATGCATAATCGGGGTGGCGGTTACGGTGGAGGACGAGGTAGTTACTATGGGAGTCAAGAACTACAGAGAAGTGACAGCTACCACCACGATGAAAGAGAGAAACCGGGTCCAATTTCGTAAGTTTTTGAATTTCTGCAGATCAGGAAGAATTTTCTAGGAGT